ATATATTCTTATCTCTCATCATACCAGGAAAATTCTCTTCCAATGAATCTTTGACAATTTTTTCTGTGTTTTGTCTCTTCCTGTTTTGGAATTCCAATCACATCCAGGTTAGTCCTTTTGATAGTACCCCACATGATCCTTAGGCTTTCTTCATTTTGTTTTGATATTTTTTCTGATTGATCCCAAAGAAGTATTGAGGTATTTGCCTTCAATCTTACTAATTCTGTCTGCCATTGATTCAGTTCTTCTCCTTTGCCCGTTCAATGTGTTATCTGTTTCTGAAAATCTAGTATTAATCTTCTGGATTTGTGTGTAGATTTTGTATCATTTCTAATTTTTCATTTATTTTGTCATTTTGTTCTTGTATTGTCTTTTGAAATTTTTCTAGGGTCTTCTCTGTGTTTTTCTCATTTTTGTCAGTGTTTTCCTTGATCTGTCTCTCAATTCATTGAAGATACCTAAGTATAATTCTTTTGAATTACTTATCAGGGAGTTCCAATGCTGTATCTTCCTCAGGGATGTTTTGGGTCTGTATCATGGTCCCTTGTTTCTCGTGCTTTATCTTGCTTCTTTGTGTGGACTCTGATGCTCAGTTGTCTCCAAGGCATTGTGACATTTTTGTGTTTATATTTAATTGGTGATTGTATGTTGGAGTGACTTACCCATGATTTTTTTTTGTTTTGTTTTGTTTGGATGTTACCTGAGTAAGCAGGGTACTGTGCTGTGCTCCTCTGTTCATTAGTTGGCAGCACTTATATACACTTTCCTTTTCCATTGTCAGCCTCCCATATGTCCTTGCCGTCCTTGGCAAATGGAGCCTATTCTTAGGTCCCTGGAATCTGAATGAGAATGCTGTCACTTTAAAATCCAAAGTGACCGCCACTTGTAAACATTCAAAATGGATACACCGTTGGTCACTTTAAATATCCAAAATGGCCACCATTTGTAAACAATCAAAATGGCTGTGCCCTTCAGACCCCGAAAGGTGGGCCAGACTTTTTTTTTGTTGGTAATTTTTTATGACCTGTTCAATTTCTCCTTATGTTATGCATCTGTTCAACTTTTCCACATCAGTCTGTGTTAGTTTAGGTAAGTGATGTTTTTCTAGACATCTGTGCATTTCTTCCAGATATTCATATTTGTTGGAGTATAGTTCTTCATGGTATCTTTCCTGTTTTTTGATATATGCATTTATTGCTATAAACTGACCTGTGAGTACTGCTTTTGCTGTGTCTCATAGGTTTTGGTAAGATGTATCTTCATTCTTGTTTGTTTCTAGAAATATTTTCATTTCAGTTTTTATTTCTTCTGTTACCCAGTAATTTTTGAGCAGTGTATTATTCAACATGTTTGATGTTTTTTCCTTGATCTTCCTATTATTAATTTCTAATTTTCTAGCATTATGGTCCAAGAAGATGTTTTGTAGTATTTCAGTGTTTTTTTAATTTATTGATGCTTGTTTTATTTCCTAACATATGCTCTATTCTGGAGAATGATCCATGTGCACTGGAGAAGAATGTGAATTGTGCTTTTGTTGGGTGTGGAGTGCTCAGTATATGTCTAAGAGGTTGTGTTGGTTGATTGTTTTGCTGAGTTCTTCTGTGTCTTTATTCAGTTTTTTTTTTCTGGTTTATCTGACCCTCCCTGAAAGTAGTGTGCTAAAGTCTTCTACAACTCTTGTAGAGTTGTCTATTTTCCCTTTCAGTTCAGTTAATACTGGCTTCACATATTTTGGAGCACTTTCATTGGGTGCATAGATATTTATTATCATAATGTCTTCTTGGTCAGTTGATCCTTTTAGCATCATTTAGTGACCTTCTTTGTCTCCTACAGTGTTTTTCACCTTAAAGTCTATTTTATCAGAAATTAATATTGCCACTCCTGCTCTATTTTGGTTACCGTTGGCTTCATATCTTTTTTCCACCTCTTAACTCTTAATTTGTTTTTATCTTTGTGTCTAAGGTAGGTCTCTTGTAGGCAGCATATTGATGGGTTTTCTTTTCTTATCCAGTCTGCCACTCTATTTCTCTTCATTGGTGCATTTTATCCATTCACATTGAGTGTAATTAGTGATAGGTATGCATTGATTGCTGTCATTCTGTTGTTTTTTTTTTTTTTTTATCATGTTGATGGAATTTCTTTGGTCCATATACTTTTCTGTGCTGAATTCATTTTATTGTCAAGTGTTTCCTCTCTTTTCTTCTTTATTGTTGGTTTTGTGCTTACTAAATCCATATGTTTTCCTTCCTTCTGGGTTTGCTTAGGGAGGTAGTTAATTTTCTCTGTGGCTGTCTTGGAGTGAATTCTTCTCTATATTTTTAGAACAGTCTGTTTTATGAGGACATTGTCCTATTTTCCTCTCCATTTAGAAGTTTTGTCCCTAGAACTTTTATTCCCTCTATTTGGCTAGTTGCTGTTGTCATGTGCAGATTGACTTCCTTGTTTTTTATTGTACGATGTTTTATGGTCTTATTTTGAGGGTCTATTTCCGATTTGCTTTTAGTGTTGATGTCATGTGCCCTGGTTTTGTTGTTTTCTGTTGGGGGTTCTCTATTGAAAGGACTTTGTTAAGCATTTCTTGCGGGGTTGGTCTGGTTTTTGCAAAATCCTTTAATTTCTGTTTGTCTGAGAATGTCTTGATTTCACCCTCATATGTGATGGACAGTCTGGCTGGATATAGGATTCTTGGTTGGAAGTTCTTTTCCTTCAGTGTTTTATATATGCTGTCCCTTTGCCTTCTTGCCTTCATGGTTTCTGCTGAGTAATCAGAACTCAGCCTAACTGTTTGATTGTTATAAGTAATATTTCTTTTGTCCTAGGCAGCTTGCAAGATTCTTTTTGTCTTTGGTTTTGAAGAGTTTGATTATGATATGCTTTGGTGTTTTTCTCTTGGGATCTCTCCTATATGGGGTCCTTTGAGCTTCTTGGACAAATATCTTTTCTTCCTTTATGATATGGGGAAAATTTTCTATTAGTAAGTCTTCCATAATTTTTTCAGTGGTTTTTTTTTTTTTGCCTCTTCTTGTTCTGAAATTCCAATGAGGCGTACATTGTTTCTTTTCATGTTGTCCCATATAACTCTTAGGTTCTCTTCATTTCTCTTAAATCTTTGTTCTGATTTTTCCTCATACAGGCTGGTGTCAAGGGATTTATCTTCTAGTTGAGAAATGCATTCTTCAGCCAGTTCTAGCCTATTCTTTTGTGCTTCCACTGTGTTGTGAAATTCTGTAATTTTGGTATTCATTTTCTGGATTTCTAACTGCTATTTTTGTATGAGTTCTCATTGTGTATTAATCTTGTTATTTTGTTCTTGAATGGTTTTCCTGAGTTCTTCCAGGGTACTGTCTGTGTTCTCCTGGATTCTTTTTGGGATTTCCTTGAACTCTTGTAGAGTTCTATAAACATACCTTCTATATTCCTTCTTGGATAATTCTGTTGCCTCCTCTTCCTCCATGTTTAATGAGACTTTTGTTTGGAATTTTATTTCTATTGTTTTGTCATGTTTTTGGTTTGATTTGAGGTTGCCTGTTGTTTCCTACACATTTTGACATTGTCTTTAACTGTTAGTTATGTATTGATTTGTTTTGTTTTGATTTTATGATTTAATATTTTTGCTGGTATATTTTATTTCTTTCTGGTTATTAATTCAGGTGTGCTGGTGCTGGGTTGCTTTGCAGTTTTCTTTGTGATAATGGAATCCCTGTGTGGAATGTGGATGCAGGTCTCTGTTTGTTGTGAAGGGGGTATAGAATTTGAGCTGACAGGTGTTGTGGTGCCTTAATGTGGTTTTTTTTATTGGGGAGAGGCGGGGAAAGGAGGTTGTTGTTGTTGTTAAGTGCCGTCAAGTCGTTTCCGACTCATAGCGGCCCCATGCACAGCAGAATGAAACACTGCCCGATCCCGCGCCAGCCCCACAATCTCTGCTATACTCGAGCCCATCATCGCAGCCACCATATCAATCCATCTCATTGAAGGCCTCCCCCTCTTTCATCGACCCTCCACCCTACCAAGCATGACATCCTTCTCCAGGGAATGGTCCCTTCTGACAACATGACCAAAATAGGTGAGACGAAGAGGGAAAGAAGGAGGAAAAGAGAAGAAGAAAAAAAAAAAAAAAACTCCAAGGCACCAGTAGCCATTCCCAGGGCTTTGAAATAGGCTGCTAATGATGATGTTATACTGTTACTCACAGGCCCACAGCTCAAGTTTGGCAAAGACCCCAATAGTTAGGGGGGCACCACTTTCCACCAGATTCAGACAGCTGCAAAAACCCCGTACTCCAGGCCTCTTTGCGCCAAAAAGGTGTCCTGGGATATCTTCTCTTACCCACGCTGCAAGATTGACCCAGGGTCTGCCCATTTGCAGCTAGATTCCTTCTCTGCTCCCAATTCAGCAGCACTTGGAGCCAGAGGGCTCTCTGCTCACTCCCTGTGGTCCCAAGTTTACTGATAAAAGTGGGCACTGAAGGTAGATCCATGGAATGGCTGCAGGTCCTCTGGTGCATTCCCTCCTTTGCCCCAGGGAGCCCTCTGATGTCCTATCTCACTGGCCAGTCGGCACTCCTCAGGGCAAGTTCCCCTATTTTTTATTCTTTCCAGCTGGTTACGCTGCCTCTCCTTCTTTTCTACTCCTACTCCCCTGAGTTTGGTGTTCTCTGACTTAATGAGCTGCTCAGAGCACCAGAATCCCTACTTCAAACTGCTGCACCTAGTTTTTCAGGCATTAAGATGCTAGCGGGAACTAACTTATGGACTACAGGTAAGACACCATCTTCCTGTCCCACTTCTTTGAATTTCAGTAGCTCTTTTTAAACTCAGAATTGAGTCTTCTTCAGCACAGAGAATAAAGGATTTGTTTGGATTAAGAAATAATTTACATAGTTACATATTTTAAATTTAATGTGGATAAAATTTATGAGAGAAATACCCAAATTCTAAAATGGGAAGAGAATAGCTTATTATATTATTAACTTTTTGACAATGTGTCTCTTCTTTTTATAGTCACCCTGATAATATCACCCCTGATGCTGGAGATTCAGAACCTAAACCTATGATCATTGGCACCAATAATGTGTTTGAAGTTGGCTGTTGTATCCTTTACATTAATCTAAGATAAATCATTCCCAGCTATCTGTTATTACCATATCCCCTCTACAGAAAATGTCATAACTATCAAATATATATACAAGTATGTATTGCTTAATGTCCATGCGACATTCTGTGAAATAGGATGGTACATAATTTGACATTGTGTGGACACCGTATTAAAACCTTCTGTCATCCTCCTTGTTGCTGCTGGAGCTGCTGACGGAACCTGGAGGAATAGGTGGTGGCAGTGGTGACAGCTGAGAAGGCTGTGGCAGGAGTGGAGTGAGAGGAAGCGAGTGGGGAGGGATTGAAGTATGTCCAGCCCTACCCACTGTTCTACTCACCTGAGCAGCAGGAGCAGCCTGGTCCCTTAGCCCTTGTTGCTGCCACCCACTTGCCCATTAGAAGAAGCCTAAGAGCCTGCACCCAGAGCCATGTCCTCTGCATATTCCTGTATCCTACCTATGGTCTAGAGCTGCAAGATTCTGTTTGGGGTCTTTAAAACTATTAGGGGGAAATAATAAACAAAAAGAGAGCTATTTTCCCTTGGAAAAAAAAAAAAAACCACCTTATGGGACCATGGACATATATGCTATTGGACACTACATGGGTGTTAAGCAGCACATACCTGTGTGTATAGAAACAGATTATATTTTATATGTTTGTGAAATAATTAGTTTCAGGACTAGACCATCCAGCTCTTTGAAAAGATTTATTTATAATATATAAAAATAAAACAAAATCCCTTCTATTCCAGTGAATAATTGTGGAGTAAATGAAGAATGGCATTTTCAGACACATACAGAAATACAAACACACATCTTTAGCTCAGTAATTTGAAGATAATATCTTGCTCCTGTTGCTGATACTACAACTTGTTGACAGTTACCAATGGCTGAACAGCAGTAGATACAGACACAGAGTAATCTTGGCTTCTGTCCTGGTTTAATAACCCTGGCTTTGTCAGTTTGTTTCCTTTGTAGTTTCAGGCAGACAGTGCATTGTCTGATGAACACAAGTGGTAGTTGGGAGTGTGGAGTGCAAATATTTCACTCATTTTATTTCCCCCGGATTGTCACCAGTCCTTTTGCGTGGTTTTGTACTCTTAAAAGATAGTGCTAAAACGGCAAGGAGGCCACATGTTCCGACCTCCTCTAACCCTACAAGAGGAAGACAGGATTACCAGCAGTAACCCAAGGCCTATTCCTGCCAGGCCAGACATGCTGCCTCCCTCTAGCCCTTTCACCAACCGTTTCTCCCAAAGCACCCACCACCTCTCCTGGGTTCGATAATTCACTGCAGTGGCCACACAGAGCTCACAGATTACAGGGTTTATTAGAGAAGCACCAGGCTACAACTCAAGTTCAAGAAGAACGCTCAGTCTCTCTCCCAGCCCACCATCCTTCAGCCAAGAGTCTCTCCCAGTCTCTTTCCCAGCAGGGCTGGTCCCTTGGTGTCTCATTCAGCAATGCGTGTCTCTTGTGTCTCTTTCCCAGCAACGTGTGTCTCAGGAGCCTGTGTCTCTTTCAGCAGCACGTCTTCCTCGACCAGCAGTCCGAGAGTTCTGCCTCTAGGAGGCCTCCTTTTGAGCCCAGCAGGGTGGTCAAACTAGCCAATTATAGCATCAGAACTCTAAGCACTTGAGAGAGAGATTTGCCCAGTTTAATATGGCATTTGATTTCTTGACTGCTACTTCCATGGGCATTGATTGTAGATCCAAGTAAAAGGAAATCCTTGATAATTTCAGTATTAATATATACATTTTTAAAAAAGTTTAAAGGTATATAAGATTGTCATTAGTGGTGTTTTCAAGTGATTGGGTGATGGATAGTTTTAATTTTCTTAAAACAATTGTGAAAATGTGTTACTCCTATAGAACTGGGGTATAAAGTTCTCATTTCTTTAAAAAAACACGCAAGTTATTTTTTCAGTCTTAGAGAAGTTTTTATTTAAAGATTAAAACTTTGCTTTCAGATTACCCTGAGCAAAGAGTTCTGGCAAGGGCAAGCCTGCATACCCTTTCCCATACCCCATTCCCTTGCCCAGTGTGATGTATATACTATATTAGTAGGGGAAGAATATATTTACAGTGTTTACTTAACTTTGGCTTACAGATTCTCAAGCCATGAAAATGGGAGATAATAATGTTATTGAATCAAAAGGTAAACTATGTTCAGAGTTCTATTGTGAAAAGTAATTATACTCACTCCTCATTTATCAACATGTTTAGATTCCAAAGACCAGGTCATACATGAAAATCAGCATTATGCTAAAATGGAGAATGACCACATCAGATCACAAAATGGAAGATGAATGCATCATTACATAACTGCCAAGCAACTGAGAATTATGGCCCAGTGAATTTGACACATATTCTTAACCGACACAGCCAACTTTTACTCTCACCTCACACCTCAGCATTCATTACTGTCAGACATATGTCATTAGCTTAAAAAAGTCAAATAGTAGATTTTTTTCTATTGTAAATGTGAAATGTTGAATAACAAAATAGTTGATAAGTGAGGAGTAGATGTGTTCCTTTCCCTTTGTGGGGTCCTGGGACAACAACTGTGTAAAATCTATGACAAGGTGATATGCTTGGAAGATGTGGTTGGAAGTAGATTAAAATAGCTGTGAGACCAAATTCTTTGCCTGATTAATTGTTAATCTGGTTATGTGTTTATCTGGTAATGTGGTAATACATTAAGATCAGCTATGTATGTTTAAATCAGGATTGGATTAAACCATAAAGTTCAGATGAAAGATTTGAAAAAGGCCTTTGCTAAATATTGTTAATGATAATTTAGTTAATGTTACTTTAGAATTAAAGAAAAATCAGTTTATCTGACAGTTTGCTTTCTTTACTGTCAGGACTACTTTACCTTAGTCAATTAGAAACCAGTCTAAGCTATTTGTCATATGTAGAACCAGGTTAAGGGTCACAGAACATCACCACCACTATGGGGGAGCGGTGTTAAGCACTTTGTCCCACTGGAGTCCAGAAAGGACCTGAACAATAGTACTTCTTTCATGTAGAATAGAATTATGGTCCTGCTTGGCATGAAAGTTTGTTTTTTTTTTTTTTAAATAATAAAACTAGACTTTTTGTTAATCTAAATGGTTTTTAGTTTGATTTGAATTGCCAATTATTATCATTGTCATTTTTTATTTATTATATGCTTACTATGTGTCACATCTGTGCTCATGACCTTGTATTTCCTATCTCATTTTCCTTGTAGCAAAGTGTGAAAAACAGGATGATCTCTCCATTTTATAGATAAACTGAAGCTCAGAGAATTTACAGACACTTGCGCAAAGTCATACAACTAGTTATCAACAGAGCTGTGTTTTGAATCCATCTAACTATAGCTTGTGCTAGCTATTTGTATGCTATACATATGGTGAACTGAAGTATTTCATTTAAATGTTTTTCAGGCTAGTTTGTGTTTTTATACCTAAGTCATCTTAGAAAACAAAATAGTGTTTGATGCCTTAAATTATAATTCTTTTCTTTATTTTTACTGCAGCTTATGTAGGCAGAAATGTAATATTGACAAGTGGTTGCATCATTGGTGCCTGTTGCAGTTTGAATACTTTTGAAGTCATCCCTGAGAATACAGTGATTTATGGTGCAGACTGCCTTCGTCGGGTACAAACTGAGCGACCACAGGTATTGACCGTCTCTTTAAAAAGAGTTCCTTCTAGGGCTGCTAGTTTTCCTGAAATATCACATAATTGTTTTAATGGGAGCAGTTAAGTCCACTATTTAAAAAGCAAATGATTAAAACATCAGAGAAACAGTCCTAAAATTGAGACATATTTGCAGTGGAATTATTTAGTCTTTAATATAAAAAATACAGAGACAGATGACAATGATAGATTGGTTATGGGAAAAGAAAATCCAAAGGTGTTACTACTAATCTTATGTATTTGCCCTGACGATGCATCACCAAACATTATGAACTATATTTATTCACTTCTGAAACATCAATCTTCACAGGTAAGGAATGACCCTACCAAATTTATACTGGACATCCAACTTGCATCCTTCTGTTAACATACTAACATAGCTTGATAATGAACACAGACTATGAATAAGCAGATATATTTGGGTATTTTCCTGGCTTATGAGAAATTATCTTCTCCTAATAGATCTGGTAGCATAGTGCCTAAGATACTTGACTGCTAACCAGAAGGCTGGCGGTTCAAACCTACCAGCCACTCGGAAGGAAGGTTGGGCAATCTACTTCCATAGTGATACTGTCTTGGGAACCCAAAGAGGGGTCGGTATGAGTCAGTTCTGACTCGACAGCACATAACAACAACAACGATACCAAGATCAGGAATGATGAAGCATACATAATTGGAGTTTCATGTTAGACTAGGAGATGGGTAAGATGGGGCTTCGTTCAGTAAGGTATTTTGATTGGGCTTCCTGCTTGGTACATTGTTCTCAATCTCCTTCCCTTTCCCCAAAAGAAAATATTTTTTAGGTATTTCCTCTTATACTCAATCATATTTTATCAGAAATTAAAACTTCAGTTCTTGTGTGGGTTATTCTATATCTGTAAGGTATGTTTGTTTTTTAATTATAAGCAATTAAATTTACTTCTTTAAACTACAAAGGAAATAAGGACAAATAAACTTAAAAATGTAATCTGGGAGGGTTCCGGCAAGATGGCGGACTAGGCAGAAGGATTGCACAGACCCTCTTCAACAAAGAAAAGGGAAACCAATTAACACAGACACAGAAGATAATCTTGGACCCCT